CACTGTGACTCTGGCAGCAACTACCTCAGCCTTTTTCCTTTTAATTTTTTTTCTTTTCATGATTGACAGTGGTGAGGCCCTGCCTCTCCTGACTGCACGTCACTGCTTATTTCTGAGATGCTAAAGAACTAATTAGAAATGAATCTAAATAAAACATTTGCCAATTGCTAGGGACATAGCCTAGTTTTGCTGAGAATACTCAGTGGTCCTATGTTCAATATCATTCCCTGGTTGCTTTTATACCACTCTTATCAAAAGGAATGTTGAGCAACAAAACAAAACAAATGAGAACAAACTTCACTCACCTTTTCCAATAAATCTGAACAACAAGTTAAGGAATAAATATCATTATGACACTCTTATAAACATATTCTCTGATAGCTGGCAAAAAAAGAACTTGGAAATGAATTCAAATATTGCTGTACATAAATTATAAGCAATGTTTTGTTTCCTAAATCTAATGAATTAAAGAGTTACCATTTTTTTGCTGAACTTTGAAAGAGAAAAATGCAATTGATGGAGAGCTGGGAGAGTACCTGATTTATGGAATTTTCAGAAAGCTGCTTCATCATTGCCATCTATAAATTAACTGTACGGATGGTTTATTGGTTCCATTCTTTCTTAATCTAGAGGTGAACAATATCTGAAGAGCTGCCATTCAAATAAAGGATACAGTCTGTGACCCTCCCTCCCTGGATATGCCCATGCTGAGAAAAATGTAGCTGGATGAATTTGCCAAAGCGGCTAGAATTGTTGTTATAGACTGTCTTGGCATTTCCAAAAGCTTCCAGGACTGGGCTTTAATTAAAAAAAATAGATTTGTTTGGCAGGAACATTAGACAAGTTTACACAGAATACATTTTTTCAACAATACAAGTCTGGTTATATGATATAGAACCATTTAGAGGTTGACTGTCAGGCCTGGAAGTCATCTTTTGCATTGGACCTTCCGGCCTGCCACATATATTGCTGTGGGAAAATGGGAGGGGGGATTATATTGAGCATGGGGGATATATAGTCATTATAACATTCCTTTCTCAAAGAGTCTCAGAGAGTCAAGAACATCTTGCCCTACACCTGGAAGGGTGTGACTAGAAGGCATCTCCAGTTGGGATGATGACTGATTGAGCCATGTGGTGGACATATGGGTGTTGGGCAGGGACTTGGACTTTCTTTTGGGTTGGGAAAACCCGGAGACTTTCCGATTTGGGTTTTCCCAGATGTGCCAATATGATATCTCTAATAAAATGGAACTTTGAGGAACTTCAAGCCTCGGAGTCTTCTTTTGTTGGGGGTGTTACTTGGAACCCTGATATTTACAAAGCTTTTCCTAAAAGAAAGTTTGTAGCCTTGAAAACTGTAAAGAATAACCTCAAAAATGTATAACATTTGTGTGCCATGATGATTCTTACTGGCCCTATAACTAACAGAAGCAGAAAGAATATGCAAATATTCTTAACTTTACATATTGTACATCCTCTCAGTGCAGAAAATTTCTTGTTTTAAGGAAACTGGTTTTGTGTTTCAAGTCCCTGGGGGAATTCAATGAGGCTCGCACAATTTCCCCAAAAGATTCTCCGTACTGGCTGCAACAATATTCCAAGGAATAAGAAATTGCCTTTTCTCAGAGCTCCTGTGCAACAGAGCATCACAAAAGGCTGCAACCTAGGACTGTATACCTCTGACATTGAGGATGTCAAATGTCATTATTCTCATGATGTGGCTCTTGAGAAACAACCTCCCCTTTTCCTGCCTATACACAGGAACCCCTTTTACCTGCTCTCGAGGATAGCTTCCTCCACGTGTGTGGTCTTCTCCAAAGCAGAGCTACCCAAGGAGAACTGGCTCATGGCTGACAGAAACTTTAACAGCAACTTGGTACTCTCTGTCTTTCCTGCTCCACTTTCTCCACTGTTAATAGACAGCCCAAGAAGAGCAAATCAAGGAATTCATAATGGCAATGATTCTGAAGTTTCCACCCATCTTTCAATACCAGAAGTGGGATAAAGTAGGAAGCTTGTGGCCTCACTGCTTCTCTCACCTGATCAGAATGCATTGGCTGTCATGACGCCTCCAGAGGCAGCTGTAGCACTCACTGGCCGTGGCAAAAATGTGAGGGGGCAGCTCCCCCAGGCAGTGCTGTCGGTACAAGTCAATGGCGGATGCATCGTACAGCCCAGTAATGGGTTTGTAGGGATTCACCGAAACCAAGATAGAACCGATGCTTGTCTGCAAGGGAAGGGAAGGAAGGGCAAAGCATTTCAGGAGTTAATTTGGAAGGAAAGGTGGTTTTGAAATTAACAAGGTAGCTGAATGCTAGTTCCAAAGAACATAGAAGCATTGGAAGGAAAGGAAGACATTAAAGTTCATGGCTTCGTTTGCTCTGGGAAAAGAGATCTTCAGTCAGTCTGCTGCAAGGAAACTGAGGTAAATGGGAGACCTCACTTGCATTTTCCATTCCACTTGCATATAGAAAAGAACAATCTGGGCAAATTGTGTGTTTATGTATACATATACATGTATAGGTGTGAATAGGCTTGCCACCCAACAATCAACTTACCCAAATGTATTATAATGTGACCTTCAATTAATTCTTCATGAACCCATAGAAATTAGCAATCATGCTACTATATCAACTTTCCACAGTTTTATGTTTTTTTTAATCTATTGAAGTAGCGGTCCTAACCTTAGATTACAAAAATTCCCATGTTCTGTTACCACTTTTCTTAATATAGTTGGCAGAACTGTGGGTAATTATAGAGATCCTAGGTTTCCTCTTTCATGTTACATAAAGAATAGTGAAGTATCCAGAAGTCAGGCACCCCAATCAGAAAGAAGAATGAAGGAAGATTTGGATTATTAAGAAAAAAAAGAAAAGCCATAAAAAAATAAATAGGAGGCCTTCTTCAGACCTACAGAATACCAAGTAATCAAAAGAACGATCTCTTGGTGTGTGTTTTTATTGTATTAAAGACGTAACTGCAACAAAGCAGAAGGAAAAGCACCTGCTGGTAGGTATTATAAGTTTATTTTAATTTTTCTCTGTACAACCCTTCTTATTATACTATACTCAAAATACATGTGACTGCTACTTTCGTCATCCCCCAACAAGCATGGCACTACTCTTCACCACTTGAAAAGATATTCTCATGTTATTCAGCACACTCTTTCCATTGAAATATAATTTTAAATTAAAGATATCAATAGGGAGCAGAGCAGCACATGAAAGGAACAGAGTCCATAATCAGCCTCATTCATTCATCCTACAGCAAAGTCATGCGTGGCAATTTCCCCTCTTACACTAAGCTATCTTTGGACTCCATATTTATGATCCATGATATTTGTCTTTAAGTTATGCTAACGCAGTGGTGGGTTACGACCGGTACGCCCTGGTACAGATGTACCGGTGCTTACTGGGAGCACTGGGTACCCGCTCGTCAATACTCCTTACCCGTATTTGAGCTCTTCGGGGCTTCTGCACATGCACACGGAGCGTATGGTAACTGTGCGATGCTCCGCCGAGCAGCTGGAGCATCGCAGGCGGTAAGTACGCATGACTGCGCTATGCGTGTGTACGCACGTGCTGCATGCATTCATGTGGTGGACATTGGGCCCAGTTGCCCCGTACCAGTTGCACCAGGATCCAGAACCCACCACTGTACTATCAGTACCAAATCTGAAGGAGCTGTTCTTCTACAGCTCTGGGATTCAAGAACAGGATATGCACAATAAATCAGAATAACGTCTCTCTTACTCAATTAGCAGTTTTAAGAAAAAGTCTGCTTGTGCATAAAAACTGCAACAGGGCATTCCCCGTGCTACAAATACCCTTCTCAGTTGTTTTGCAGAGGCAAATGAACAGTGTTTTGAACAAGATCAGAATCCTCAATTAAGCTCTCCCATAGATGCAAAACTACTATGACAAATTTTAGATGCTCCCCTGGCCTTCATCTTCTTGTAATGGTTCTATGGGGGGGTCATGATAATGAACATATTTCATAATTTCTCCTAGGCAATTTTTAATATGGAAATTACCACTTCTGCTCAGCTATGCCCCAAAATTCTGAGGAGAATTGAGCAGTGACCATCTTCTGCATAATATGTAGAACCAGAGTAGATTGAGCTTTTGACCAGGAAGTATTTTTTAAAAATGCAACAAAAACTATTATCTGAGAATGGAGATTCCATTATTAACAGGGGAGAAATCAATGGGTGTAAGTGGAAACAATATCTTAAGTAAAATGTTAACGGATGAAGCCTTGTCAGCTCATTTAAAAAAAAAGGAATGTAAGAGGGTACATTAAAGGTTTCTAAAAATACATTGTTGGAGGAAACTATTAGAGTCTGCACAATCTGAGGCGGTAGATAAATCTAAAGTACCTGATGATCAGAATACAATATGAACTCATTAGCCAAATTCGGGATGAAGACCAAAATATCTTCTTTAATAGATAGAAATGTAGTTTGTACAAATCTGCAGAATAAACCTTTTAGAAGCCAAAAATTTGAATTACTTTTCAAACTTGGATCTTCTTAAGGACTACTGCTCTAATACATTCTTTATTGAATGTTTCATGAAAGGTAGAACAGAACACATCTTCTATTTTTAGGATTTCATCCTATTTCATCAGAAGCAGAAACCACTGCAATTGAAAATGGGGCACTACATAGAAAATCTTAAGTGGAAAAGTGTGTGTGTGTGTGTGTGTGTGTGTGTGTGTGTGTGTGTGT